CAAAGCCAACGCGTACAAAAAAGAGTTCAATTATGTTCCTAATTGTAGGCACAGACTCCAAAAATGACTGCAGGTTTCATCAGGCAGGAAACAGTCACGGAGGTTTGAACTTTAAATCCCAATTAGCTGAACTTTCAGTCTGACTGAAAAGATTCTCCAAGGAAAACCCCTCTTTCTCTCAGTTGCCATTTCACATTACCGCCTACAAACTCATTCACATGACGAGCTGCTCTGTCGTCCCTCGGGTGGGGTCAGCTCCGGCAGCCGCGGCAAGGGAGGAAAATCACAGCCAGCTGCTACTGATATTACTGCTGATGCCACTGTAGGGAAGCCTGTGATGTGACGGTGAGGAAACTGATAAGTTTTCAGGTCTGACATAATCCTCTCTGCCACCAATATTAGCAGCAGCCATAATGGTCACTGATAGTTACAATGTCTGATGGTTTTGAAATTATTATTACTTCTCTGGGAGTGAGAGACAACTGCCTGTCAACAGCTGAGGAACTTCTGGTCTAGTCTGGAAAATGACGAGCAGCTACGCTAAACCGGCTTCACGTCTACAGTTGTCAATAATCCATGGAGAACCGTGCAAACCACCAGATATATCACAAAGAAACACTTACAGGTAAAGGCAAAGAACAAAATAGACTCTGTATGTGGGTTTTACTTGGTAGCAACCATGATGTATGTATCAGAGATGTGTTGGTGACAAACCCAACCTCTGTCTTGCTCCTCTCACTTTGCTGGCCTTCAGTTGGAAGTTTGAACTTCTCTAGTCTAAGAATTCAATTTAGGGCTGAAAAATGAAATTTGATAAAGCATGCTTTCAGTTACCAGCTGATGCTAAAATATCATGCATTTTGAACACTGTGAATTGTTCCAGTACAATGTTGTATTGTTTTCAAAGCAGGCAAGATTACTATGGTGGGTCATGTTGGTTTCATGATTACCCTCTCTGTGAAATTACAGTTCACAGGTAATGGAACCTTGGTCCTGGAAAAAGAAATTTTAGAGGAGAGTTTGGCAGAACATCTTCCCTTGCTCTCTCACACAGGGTTCTCTTTTTAAAAAAAACCACAATGTTTTGTAAATAACGGAATATGTGTCATATGAAGTTGAGAACTATTATCTTCTATCTTGACTGTATTTTCAAACACTTATCCATTAGTGCAGGAACAGAAACGCGAGGCAAGAAGACCGGAAAGCAAATGGAGAAGCCTTCTTACAGCATCTCTGGAATTCCAAAACACTTTGAAGTTCTTGGGCTGAATCATCCTCTCCTTATGTAAGAAGCTCTACAGGATTGTTTCCCTGCTTCTCTACAATGTATTCCACTACCAGTCAACCATATTCAGAACTAAAATTATCCTTTTATCAAAGAAGAAACAGAGTTACCGGAGGTCTTCTACTCCATCTTCTTAGCCAGTAGCACAATCACCAGTACCTAAACTGTCCTTTAATGATGCTTATCTAGCCTGTCCTTATCTAATTTGTCCTTAAAAAACATGTCTCTCAGCAAACTATTTTCAAATCTAGTTACTGCTGCTGTCTAGCCACTCCCTCTGAATACCGCCTCTTCTCTGACGAGAACATCGCCATCTTGCATTGTTTGCCCTTTGCTTTTTAATTAACCCATATCCCACAGGGCTCACCAAAGCTTTTTCCTTCGCCACGTCAGCAACGCAGTTTTTACTTTTTCTAACTTTTCACATGTCTATAGGCTCCATTCCTATTATACATTAACTTGATTGCTGCTGCTATCTTTTTTTATTCCTTGTTTATTTTCCCCTATTCCTGACAGTTGCTATCCAAATTAGTGGAAATCTCTGCAGAGGTTTTGACTAGGTTCTTGCCTAGACACATTTCATGTTTCTTCTCTAACAAATTCTTCAAGGTCGCCTCATGCTGTCTATATAACTGATTTTAGTTGCTTCCTGCGATCTACCGCACTCCTTGCCACACAACCAAACGTCCCTTTGAGATCTACGTTTTTCCTCATTCTATTTTCCTGCTCTCTTCCATAAATTTTCATTTGAAATGGCAGTTGTCGTTCAACGAAAGAATTTTTTTCACCCCATCATGAAATTCTTGAGAACCTGTCTCTTCTACAAGTATTTTAGCAGTAATGAGCTCATGATTGTCTCTGCTGTTTATGCCTATCAGCATCTCAGGACATCTCATCCTGCAGGCACATTCTTGCAACAGTAGGACCTCATGCACATTTAGGTGCTAGATTAATAACTGCGATATTAATACTGTCTTCAAGTCGCAGTCTATAAAAGTCATGGGAGCTGTTCTGGAAGAAAGACACACCAGGTATGGGGGAACATTTCGTTTTACCTTGGCTAGAACTACCAGTGGTTTTTAAAGTACTTGGTTTAAAAAGTTCTTCCTCAATTGTATGATGCTCTCTTTCCTCATTAAGCCTTTCTCTGACTTCCTGTTTTCAAGGTAATGGTTCTCCATTGTGGTGAACACGGGTAACTAAAGAATCAGCAAACATTTCTCCAAAGACTGCAAGACAATCCTCTGCCATGGTTTGTTGGCTCTGTGTGTGAGAATATTTCAAGGGCAGGTATATAACCTTTACATTAAGCGATGATGGAAGTTCAAGTGAACTTTAATGAAGTCTAGTGACTTTGCAGCTTTGGGAAAATAGCCAAGATACACACTGTAAGGACTAAGTGAAAATAAACTAGCACAAAGAACTTCTTCAAACTGCTTTATTTACAAATCTACATGATGGATATAGAAGCCAAGACGCAGGCAGGTCCCTTTTTCTGTGACTGACTGATAGCTATAGCAGCCCTGTCTCAGAGCCCTACCTCATACTGAGACTGCGGCAACCTCTTCAGTGCTATTAGCTAAACTTCTCCCTCCCCATGGTGGACTCATTCTCCCTCTTTTCATCTTTACTACTACTTCTGTTCTAGCTTCTTCCAGTTTGGGGGTCAAAATTCTAAGATTCGCTTTGTGTTAATCAAGGAAAAATTTGCTAGAAATTTTTTTACGAACACGTAACGCTCACAGGGGAAAATCTCCCCCAGAGTCATCATTAACCAAGATGTCAGCATCTGTATCCTCCTGGATTGAGACTCCTTAGACAACAAAAGTCACATCAATACCACGAGTACACCTCGCTCACATATCAGTGACAGTGTGGTCACAACAGCACAGAACTCAGGACGAATTAAGTTTTTCAGCTGCTCTCTGTATCTCCTCTTTCCTTTAGTAATCACGTTAACGGTAATCCCAGGTCCCCTCCAATTTTGTGAAATTCTGTACTAAAAGAATCAAAATTCCAATTCAGGAGCAGATCTGAATTTTGTCTTCAAGCAAGGTGTTTCCCAACAGCAATGGCCACTACTCTATGATACACAGCAAAGTCACTGCTTTAAAAAAGAAAATAAAACCACCATCAACTTCTCTTTTGAAGTCATTACTGACTACAAAGTCATGCTGGAATGTATTGTAGCTTGGAATGGAATTGTAGCTATAATCTAATACCTTGCTAAGCTATTAAAGAAACTTCCCTGTGGGGCATATGTGAAGTTTGACATACTTTTTGTACCTATGCTGAAGACTAGATGATGGGGTTTTCTGCTATGTCTCACTGTAAAAACGCATTACTCCCAGAGTCAGTGCAGACCCTGCTTCTTTAGGACGCTCCTGGCAGCTCATAAAAGGAGAAATCAGTTAAGCAGACAGTAACCAAATAGTTACAATACTTCCACAGCATACAGACTTGGACCAAGCCAAGGTTTTAAACACATCCAACACATACTTTATTTGCCTACAGTACGCCTGCCCTTTCTCTAAGCGTTTTTTCCATATATCTGATTTTAGCAAGAGCATCTTGGTACAACGGACAATTTTAGAAAGAAAAGCAATGAGGGTGCTTCAGCTATCACAGATGTGCTGGGAACTGTTCTCTCTGACACACCCATTCACAGCCCGGCAGCGCTGCAACCATTAGAGAAGTATCCACTGCTGCTCAAACAAATGAGATATATATTTATTATACACACACACAGCCCTTGGGTGACAATGGCCATGAAAAATATATTTTGTTAGACTCCTGGATCTGATGAGTAGAAAAATAATGTAGAAGCGTAATTGCTATCCCTAACCACAAAATGCCTCGAGGCAGTTGCTGTCACAGTGAGAGTCTGTTAAAAGCATGGCCATTTCCCTTGAACACGGTTCAGCTTGCACCATGTGAAATTTCAAAAGCATTTTGTCATTTTGCCCATACAATTTTTTTTTCTCTGAATTAACATTTCTTTAAACACAAATATTTGAAGCAGATAACCAAGCCAAGAAAGTTAATTGATAAACAACTGAACTTTGCGGTTACTTCTAACCTCCTTTGTTCCAAAATCTCAGCAGTCAACCCCAAAGAAACCTTAGGAAGTCAGAAACAAGCACGCTTGGCATAAAAAGTCTCCAAATTTCAGTCACAGATCACTGCAGTTTTGCTTCTGTTTAGCAAGGCTGTGTCCAACTGCAGTATGTATTAGCTGTCAGGTCAGCCCATGTAAACTCAAGAATTACAGTTGTATGCTGGGGGGGCCGGGGGGGGTGTCCATCCCCATAATCCCCCCCCATCCTCCCTCTTTTCTCTACTGTCGGAAACAGAGCTGGGAGAGCAAACTAAGTATGTAACAGCAGTCACGTAGTCGAACCAAACTTTACTAGAGCTATTCTAAATTCCCTAATGTACTTCTGTTCTTAGTTTAAACTCAACTTTCATGATCTACAATTCCCTTCTTATAGGTCTGGAATGGCCCTTTACAAGCAACTCACAGCTTTCCGTGACTGTACAGACCAGCACAGCTGAGGTTACAGCTCTAAAGCATCTCTGATAACTCTTACAAATAATAAAACTTAATATAAAGATAGACGCAAGAAAGCTGTTAGCTTTCTAGCAGAAGAGCTCTTGCTGTCTGAGGCATAAACTTATTAGCAACCATAAGGGTTTTCATTCATAAAAAACTTACGTGTTTCTGCTAGACAAAGCTCCAGCAAACATAATCCAAAAGTTGCCCATAAGGAGAAGCTGGCCATTGTTCACTCGGAATTGTTTTGCCAAAACCAGAGATCCTTGCAAGCTGCAGAAAGAAGAAAAGCCCCGCCGCTTGTTAAGCCTGCCGTCAATGAGTCTGAAGTTTGCAGCACTTTTTATTCCGATTCAAAGGAACTGAAGTAATGACATAACTGGGAGGGGGAGCTCCATCAGAAGTCACACCCATATTGCAACAAAAGTTACCCAGCAGTGGAAGAAGGGGGGTGGGAGGGGAGCTAGCACTGACTAAGCAGACACACTCGAGTTTTAAAGAGGCACTAAATCTCCTCTTCTTACACAAGTACAGTCAAAAGTTATACTTACTGCGCTGGCAGGAAAATTTGTGTAATCTCTTGTGAGTTAGCTCAGAAAGGCAGTGTTTGTTACAAGCTTCCCCTCCTGCATTTTAAAATCTCCACATTATTGCACACCAGGTGACCATAAAGTTTCTGAACCCCAGCAAAGCATCTACAACTGCCTGGATGTTTCCCCAAAATATTTTGCTTCTTTTGTCCCATCTCACCGTTTTCTCTTTTGGCAGTTCTATTTAGAGCAAGCAAAATGCCTGCTCTGCGAGGAACCTTTCTAAAATGTTTCTGTTCATCCTTGGAGGATAACCTCATGCAGAAGGTAAGTCAGCCTGAAGGCTTCAGCCACCCACAGCCCGTTCTACCCCAGGCTTCTCAGCTCCAACAACAGCGGTAACTAATGCCAGTGCCAGCAGTGACACTGAGGACTGAGGCCGATATTTTATTGTATTGATGGTATGAGGTATGGAAGGAATTATTCCTCCTATTCCCAATTTGCAAAACAGAGAAACAGGATGAGAATGTATGACAGTCTTTGACACTCAGAGAAGGTCTCAGTTCCTGAGGGACATGTGTTCATTGCGGCTTGGGGATTTGTGTGACTTTAGATGCCCCATGAAATCCCTGGTGAAAAGCTCAAAGCTTGTCTGTTGTGTGCCTTGGGCATTTCTCCTGGCGTCTCCATATCCCGGCCTCTCTTCGGAACTGCAGAATTGCAACGCTGCTTTCTGTGCAGCGACATGAGGGGCTGGTCAGGGATCACCAAAGCCAGCACATCTCACCTTTAACAAACACCACGTGGTGACGACTGACAGCCAGTAATGCCCCGATTTCAGTTTCACTGGGCAAATTTGAAATGAATAGTTCTGTATCAGGTTACCATTTTGTCAGTCCTCCCACTTGAAAGAATTTTCTCATTAATTTTTAATCTCTGTTAACACAAACAATGGAAAAATACAGACAGGTCTTTCCAGCCACAGGCACAAGAACGTTACACAAAGAGGTTTTCAGGACTTTGCCTTTTCTTTGACTTTTGACTTTGAGATGGCTGGCTATCCTTACCTCAGTCAGCCAAATTTTTAGCAACAGGTTCTAACAGGCTTTTCTGACAGGTCTAGAATATCTGATGGGACAAAGTTAAAGTGAAAATCTTTCCTTAAAACACAGGGGATCTTTTTATTAAGAAGCTAGCAGCTTTGAAGTTACAGATAAAACATGTTTTACTTAATGAATACGCCACTTTTTCTTTTGAAACAAATGGCTTTAAAAGCAAGGAAAAAACAATCTCATATACACCTTACTGTTTATAGTAGTGGAAAAGAAATCGTTCTGTGAATCCTGTATGTTTATAGATACAGATATTTTGGCATCGAAATATATGAATGAAGTTTATTGGGATTTAAAATGCTGGTGCACAGTTAATGCATGTTGTGAGTTTACTAAGCATGTATTTTCCTTCAATTGCTAAATGACTTTAAAATTCACCCCTGTGGATGAAACAAAAGAATGGAATATTTAATTAAAATTTAGGTATCTTTGAGGCTTATTTTTTTGATGAACATAAAATACCTCTCTGTTAATGTCCTGTATTCACAATTATACGGAATGAAAAAATGAAAATGAGTTTTCTTTGGCACAGGTAAACGGAGAACCCATTTCAGGGATGTGGGCAAATGTTAGAGGCAGAAGTCTTATTTTACCAGGAGTGGAAAATCCTAGTCTCTTTGTGGTCTGAAGTTTCTCATTCTAGCCCTTCAGACATCAGCTTATGAACAGGTCGTTATCTCAATACTGAACATTATTTGATATGCATCTTAGACTTCTCAGTTCTTCTGTGTCTGTTTGGTGGGGGTGGGTGGTATTCCACTGTAAAATTGGGCTAAGATTAGGAACGTTTAGACCAGGTGCATCGATGTGCTAGTACCTGATGCAAAAGGAAAAGACAGATGTATACAAGAAAAATAATTCATCACAGTACACCATTTCATGTGATAAACCACAGAAATAATTAATGAACTGTATGTATATGACACGTAAGCCTGTCCCTTTCACATGCCACCTTGCCTGCTTACATGCCAGCCTAGGACACACACTTGCATTCCAATGCACCGAGCACTTCAAAGAGCTGCCATTAACAAATAAATAAAAAAGCTGACACAAAAATATTTCCTTCTTTCCCACCCAAACATGGAATTTCTCCCCTAAAATATGTTGGCCTGAGGTAGACAGCAGTCCAAATTTAGCCTGGGTACAGGGCCTGATGCTACCCAGAAAATTTAGTCAAAGGAGATGTACAGCTCTGGGAAAAGTTTTTTTGGTCTTGGAGGTTTCTGTGTGAGAAATACATAACCTTTCCTTTAGCTGGGGATAATCTTAGTATATAAGAACAGAAAAATCCTAAAGCAAATCTTCAGCTGAGGAAATGCTGCACAGCATTGCTTCAAGTTGAGCCTATCAGTTTATTCCCATTATGGATTTGTTCCCATGACATTATTGTTAACAACACAAATCACATAGTTAAATGTTTGAGCTTCTGGAATTTGCTTACTCCCTTGGCAACAAGCAGTTAAATTGCTGGCACTAAAAAAATGTAAAATAATAAAAGGTACCAAATGAATTAAGTTTTCAAAAGAGAATGAAGCAATACAACTAAAAAGGATAAAACCCCAGCATTTAAAAAAATTATTTTCTGTGAAGACTTTTACACAGCGGATGCTGAATCTATGATGGTGCAATATAGTATAGGAACACCAAAAGAATTCATTCATGATTTTATCATATATGTGAACTGTAGCCAGCACCAATTAATTTTGATAAAAATCCCATTAGGGAGTACCTGTGTTGGGGCCTCAGAAAAGGAACATGCACGGCTTACAGCGATCTAAAGAGATCAAATTCTGACCTAGCTGAAGTCAAAGGTCAAAACTCCACTGAATTCAGTGGGGCAGCCCCTCCCTATAATGTATATTTATTTGGATTTTATTATGTGGACAGACCAGAAAGTGAATGTTCCTGAACTTACGATGAAAAAACTGATGCCAGTGGAGATCAGTTTCACTATCAAATAAGAACAATTGAAAGGTGGGAAGAATGGAATTTTGTTTCTGTCAAAATAGCTGGCAGTTCTATGGTAAAAAGCAGAAACTTTGAAAAAGGAAGCTCTTCTTTGAAAACCCTTTTTTTATTTTTTATTTTCAGCAGAAAGATTTTTTTTAATTAAAAAATACTTTTCTGAGTATATTTTGGTGGAAATTTCAAGCTTGTTAGGCAGAGTTGAAGAGCATGGTCTTGATGAACATAAAACACAAATCTCATTAGGTAATTCTGGTCATGGCAGCATACATTCTGCATAAACTACAGCTGGCTGTAAATCAGTTTTGGGGGAGGAGGGAGGATTTTATACCCATTTAACTGTTATCTCAATAAGATACGGTATTTTTAATAAGATTTCCTCCTGTGTCCCTAGACTGCAATCTTGTTTCCTGAATTTCAGACTGGATTTAATTTCCATGATCAGCCCTGAAACCAAGTTTTGTAATGGAAATGGTTGTAAATTCTTCAGTGTAGCAAATCCTGTACTGCACACTTTTCTTGGGCTCTGAGTGCTGATGGGAAGGCATAAGAAGAATCTGTGCTGGTTTAAGCCAGAAAAGCTACTCTTTTGGCTGGAGGGCAAAGCACTCCCTTGGGAAGTTGGGCACCCGGTTCTACTCCCATCAGCCTTTTGTTCCTAGATGTAATTTACAGCCTGTGTCCTGCAGAGAGTTAGGAAGATGAACAATGGCTCCTAGTTGTTTACTTCTGAACAAGGCAGCAACCCAGATTGGCACCTACCGTGTGGATTCATCAGCCTGTTTTACTGGTTTGCCCCAGATCCCTAAACAACTCATTAATCCAGCACAGGCAAAAATCTGAACAGCCAGAATCGCTCAAGTAGGCCGTAAGAAGCTTCTTGCAGCGAGGTTTCTCCTGTGGCAGACCGCGTGGCCCTGTCAACCTTCTTGTTCCTAGCATCGTCCCAAAGCACTCAGTCCCTGGCTGACCGCCACGGCTCCCAGCAGAGCACAGGCAGGATATCACTGTACTGGTCCCCATTCACAGCTTTCACACCACTATACCCAGTTAGTTACTACGTCGCGGTTGCAGATGGGGCAGGAAACCTGCAGACAGCAGCAGCTGCCGGGAGATGTCCAAGCATGCAGCACGGAGATGCAGAACGCATTTGCGATGACGTCAGCCACAGGCAGCTGTGCCGAGGACTGGGGGGGAGTCCAGGGGGAACTGAGCGGAGAAGAGGAGACACGTTTTTCTCTCCGTAGGTGGTTTCAGTCTGTCTGTACCCCTCCCTCCCCCGGGTCGGCCCTCCCAGCACACACCATGCAACAAGAACCTGGAAACTGAGATAGCAGAGCATGAGCTGCCCTCCTTACGCTAGGCATTCAGTGTTCCCCCTTTTGTTTCTTTCATTTGCAGTTTAACAATAGGTAAATGAAGCTTATACTGGGCCATCTCCAGGATGTGCTCTTTCTTGTCACCTTTGCTCTCCTCCCCATTGTCGTTCTATTCTCTTCCTTTTGATTTTACTTCTTGACTTCTACCTTGACTTCTCTCTCTCATCTCCACTCATTTCTCCTTTTTCTTACCCCCTATCCGTGCTCATTCACTCTCCCTTCTACGCAGCATGTAGGAATAAT